TTTGCAGCAATTCTTCTCAGCCCCAAGGAGGTTACAATCAACATGTCTCCCCCCCCTCCCCCCCTCTATCTCAAGAAAAGTATGCTAGAAGAGCAAATGGGGGTGGGGAAAAGAAGCCTTGCTGAATTCCATTCCATTCTCTCTCATCTTTCTGTCAGGAAAGAAAAGTATCATAGAAGAGCAAATGCGGGTGGGGTTAGGGTTAGGGTTTGTCTTCACCCGCAGTGGAAGCAGTAGCCGAAGGCAGAGGCACAGGGGAGTGGAATGCGGTCCCGTGGGCTGGATGTGTTGGGCAACCATGTACCTTGTCCCAACCACATGGGATGGAGCAGGCGTGTGATCCTCATCATGTGCCTCACCTGCCTCTGCCTGCTTCTGATGCAAGTGCTGCCGCCGCCATACCTGTTTCTTGGAGGGTCAGCTGCGGAGTTCCTGGCTGTCCCCCAGGCCTTCTGGCAGCTGCGGCAGGTGAGGCACCTCTTCCCCGGCCCCAGTCAGCCGGGAAAAGCCAGCCATGCAAGGAGTGGGCGGGAGTGGTGGGGCGGAGGGTGGTGCTGAATCCCACCACTCCGTGGGCCGGATACATTGTGTCGGCGGGCCAAATCCGGCCCGCAGGCTGTAGTTTGAGGATCCCTGGTGTGTGGGATACAAAAATGGATTCTAAATTGAAGGAGTGAAGAAGAAAGGAAGGATTGTAGTGCAAATGGGGAGAAGTTAGATTTGAAGCCTCAATAGCCCTGGTCTTCATAGGCACTAGGCCTGTGGATACTGCACTCACCTTGTGAAGATCTAGACATCCTTCGCTTTCTTGGCCTGTTTTGGTGGTTCAGGCCTTCAGTGAGTATGCAGAGAATGGAGGTGTAAAAGTACTGTAAGATCACATGAGATTAGTAGCACAAGATCTCACACTATTGATCTCTTGTGGTCTCATGGTACTTTAGGACTCTTCTCTGCAAACGGAAGCCTGGACGAGATCTGCAGCAAAAGGCTTTGCAAATGGAGGGAAGTCCTGAAACAGCAAAGCTTTACCATTTGCAAACTTTACTTGAACTTGCACATTTCTTAACAGCTGCGCAATCCCTCTTTCCTTCCTTTTCTCCTCTTCTTCTTTTCTTTTCTTTTGTATGGGATATGTATGTGGTATGCATGTGATGTATGTTTGATGCTTGTGCCCACTTTTATTCCTATTGTCGTATTTTTATAATTTTAACTGACTTGTGGGGACTGGATGCGTGAGTGATTGTGTATGCATGAGGGGACTGGGGGAACAACCTGGTGCCCCCTCCACTGAGTGCCATTGCAGAAGTGGTAGGGGGCCCAGGCCTATCCCCCATCCCAGAATGTCTGAAATACATGGCCTGCCGGAGAGAGCGGAGGCCACTGGGGGGGGAACAGGGTCTACGGGTACGGGAGTGGGCTGGAGCATTCCGGTCATGATGGGGAGGGGCAGGTACGGCGGGAACTTCAGGGCTAGCCATTACCGGGGAAGGAGGGTTCGCTACGTCAC